GGTCAAATTACCCCTGTAGGCAAGTTTCTAGCCGGTTTCATCTTCTTTGAAAAAATTCAGTAGAAATCCAGCCCATTCTCGACAAGGTGGGACAGTGAAGGGTAAATAGTGCCAGTTTTCTATTCGCCAAGGGACTAATTCTATGTGAGAAGGGATAGCTTTGTTGATTAACCTTTCGATTTACACTTTGTCTTTATAGGTTCTTTTCCACGTGCTTGCCGATGACGACAAACCGGAAAAGGAATCGAACGCTGAGCAACGTAAAGCCAGGTTGAACAATGAAAGAGTCTTATTGTGAATCTATTGTATTACTTTCAAAAAGTTAATAGAATAGATAACATTGATGGCACGATTCCACGATGACCCTTTTACCCAATGCCCAATAGAATTGAAAGTGAAGGGTTCACGTTTCTGCGAGCATTGAAATGAGGAAAGCTGCAAAGCGCTACTAATCTAAGGCCCTCACTATAGAAAATAACCCTAGACAGTTACAGATTTGTTCTCTTGAACTCTTCATGGTTTGCACCCACCTTTATTGAGCTGCCGTTCTAGCAGAATCTCTTCTTCATAGACCGAAAGGGTTTTTGCAAGTTGTGACTATTCGACTGGACGTCTACACAGCCCATAGTAAATCAGAACCTCAGAAAACGCTCGCAATCCGATAAGACCACCCACCGGAGCTCTGCGAACTCTTGGAAACAACCCAGCAACTGATAGCAGCGACCGACGAGAGCCAGCTGGGCTTGGTTTTCATTGAGTGCTACTGATTACCGATTACTGATTACTACTGAAGAGGCTAATTTTACGTGTATAAGGCCTTGTTAGATCCTCCATGATTGTAAGGCATTGTTCCCTCAAATTCATTTCTGAATTCGTGACGTGTATCCATCTAGGAAAGAACCAAAAATGCTGGATGGTTCCGAAAAATTCACGGAACTACGGTCAGTGACAACCTTTACATTACGTGCGTGCCCCGCGAACTCTTAACTCCAGTAGAGCTACGTAGACGTTCGGTCGGGCAGCGACAAATTGTTACCGTCCTTCCAGACTCTGAAGAAGGCAATCTCGCTGAAACGTCAGCCTGGTAAAGTAGGGAAAGACAAATAGTACTGAGTTGTTTTTTTTAACTCTTCACGAGGTTTGTATACAAGCTTTATTAGGCTGACTTTTCGGCGGAGTCGCCTTCTTCAGAGCATGGCAGTGGAGACGTTTGGTCGGATAGCCATGAATTGTTATAATCTTTCTAGGCTCTAAAGAAGGCGACTCCGCCGAAACGTCAGCTTAATAAAGCTCGTATACAAACATCGTGAAGAGTTAAAGAAAAGCCGACCCTCACCCAATACATTTTGATTCTGTATGAGACATCAGGTAAATTACGATGAGCGAGGTATTCTCATAAGCCAGAAAACCTCTGAAACTGGCACGTCTCTCCCAGTTGGCCGCTCAGTTGGCGAAGGGGGTTGGGATTTCAAATGAACTACTGCTCTGCTTGGATTATCGTGGAATCGGTCTTTGAATATGATCAGACACCACCATAGGGTTTCAGAGAAGAAATGTCGTTGCTGGGCGTGTTGAATAACTACAACCGCGGCAACTACAAACTGAATCCGGTCATTGTGCAAGAAGAAGACTATAATGTGTACTACGGTGGTATCAGCAATGGCCTTCTATGGCCAGCTCTACACAACTTGCCTGAATACATCGTCGCTGACTATGATACACCGAAGGTGGGGATTGTTTTATGGATGCCTTCTACATAGTTGAATACTTTGCTTCTAATTTTTCAAGATTCTGCGTGACCACTGGTGCGCTTATGTTCGCGTCAACTATCAATTCGCTATTGATGCCGTCCGAAATAGTCGCCCTCAGGTTTGACAAAATTTGTTCTTCGGTTTGATTTTGATAAGGAGCGACTCTACAAGTAGCGAATTGTAATCCTTACTCATGCTTTTCACAAGAAACGAAACTCTTATTCTCTTTCTACACACGTTTCTACACTGGAATCTCATGGAGTGGTCTTCTAGGCAGTAACAATAGACTGTCAACACGATCTCAGAACGGGCCATTCCTATTCTTCTATCTCAAACATCGTCTCGAATATTTTCTCGATATGTTAGGGGAAGAATCATATTCCTCGCTTCTCGTCATTGAGCAAGTTCTGAGAAAAACATAATCTCGAGAATTTCAGTTTAATCCTTTTTCCGTTTTTTAACTGTCGGCCTCTCTATGGGAGAGGGTGGTTTGGGTAGTCTACTACGGTGCGCTTCCATGACTTGAACTTGATGACTTTTGTTCAAGCTGACCGAGTCCTTCATTTTGTCGAGCGAGCCGGCTGATTGGCACAAGTTTGTCTGAGAGGGTGAAAGCGTTGGCCTCAGGTATCTCCAGCCANCCAGCCATTCACTGTAAAAGCTGACGCTTTGAAGCGCCATTCTGATTCTGCATATACCTCGATGTATCTCCTCTTCAGAGTCCTTATATAAACGGAAGGCAAATTTCCTCCGGTTAGATAGGTCGCCCGATCATTGCCCTTGTTCGAGTCAGAGCACTCCCCTCTTCTATGAAAGGCCAGTCTAATATGATCATCTCCACGAAACGTGAGAGCATGTTCCGAGTGTTCTTTACTGCTCTGCCGTACAGGTTTTATTATGGATGAACCCCTGTATTGGTGAACGTCTTCGACTGCATCGTCGTCTTCAGGACCAGAAAATACTTCGAAGCTCCAAATCTGTGACTTACCCGACCAAGCGCCCAACACGCTAGGCTAGTTACGACAACTCCCGGGAACTTGAACTTTGAAATGCTTCCAGCAAAGTGGCCAACTTTCTGCGGTTCCACCAGCGTTACGTCCCTCTTTATGTGAACAACAAGGACTAATGAGACACCATTGATGATAAGAATAGAACAGCTGTTCACAGCCGTAACAAGTGAACTCTTGCCATTCATTCCCTTTTGTGGGCTTTGAGATCACCCGCACAATTCTTAACATGAACGGTGTCTCATTAGTCACTGCTGTTCACATGAAGTGGAACGTAATGCTGGTAGAATCGCAAAAGGTTGGTCACCTTGCTGGAAGCATTTCGAAGATTGAGTTTCCAGAGTTGTTGCAACTAGCCTAGCGTGTTTGGGCGTTTGGTCGTATAAGTCACAGATTTGGAGCTTCGAACTATTTTCAGGTCCTGAAGACGACGATTCAGTCGAAGACGTTCACTCATATAGCGGTTCAGCCATAATAAAGCCTGTACGGCAGAGCAGAACATTATGTGAAATGCCAAGGTTTCAATAAGACCGAACATGATAATTGAACATGTTTCAAATATTAAGCAATAATGGAGAGCCATTTTAAGATCTGTTCATTTCTATTGTTTCTATTCAGGTGCTTTAGAGCTTATGTACTAGTAATAGACAGCATTTCAGGACTTTATTTGGATTCACGACTATCATCTCATGTTAACCGGAATGATTATGCAGTCGTTGGACCCAAATCTAGACGTAAATGCCATTCCCATCTATTATTACAAGTTTGCGCTCACATTCCATCATTTTGTATTTATTGTCATCAAGCCCTGCTGTAGGTCGGCTTCTTTCTTCACACACCGTTTCAACCACCCGACACTTTTTTCACGAAGTACGTAACATGTGGACTACCAGTTTTAAGGGGACTTCTGAGGTTCACGAAGGTGAGACTTTCTTCTGTTCCATTGCATCGTAAAAAATATATTTCATACGCGTTTTTACCCAGCTTCAAGAGATGCCCTCAGCTCATTTCCATCTCTTGATATCAGGAAAACAGTGTGGAAAAGAGAGAAGCTATCGAAATATGGGTTATGCTCTCCCAGCTGACATCCTTTTTTTTACGATGGCGTTCCCTTGGCGCAATCGAACGGCAGAATTGTCCATGATGGGCCTTTTCGAGATTCCCCTTCAGTGCCCTCTCATTCCAATAGTCTTGAGACGCTCTTGAACAGCATGTGCAGTAGAATAAACCAAGTCGCTCATATTTGCTTTGAAATATGTGATAAGCACAGGTTGGCTTCCAAACACATCGAGATCGAGCCAAGTATTTGGAGCTAGTTCAGCAACATCTTAAGGGTGTAGTACTCACTCACGACCACAATATGGATATCTATACAGGCGAGTCATTTTTCGCATACCATTCTTACATGCTAACGATCTTTCCTGGAGGGGCCATAATCAAAGAAGCTGTGATCTACTTAAAAGCACAATTCACGATCATTTTGAGTGCTTTTTTATTCAAAAAGCGGGAGCATAGATTGGGAATAGTTCATCGGTAGTGAGGAAAGCGAGAAAATTGAGGAAAATAAGGCTCCTTGAAAGTAGGGAAAGTAGAGGTCAGACGAGATTACTTTCGTGGAAATGACACGGAAGGGATACTCTGACGAGAGTTCAGTTGTTGCAATTCAAAAAGCTGACTATATCGAGCCAGAACTGTACAAAACTGTCTTTCACTGTCACCATTGGTCATGACAAGTTGTTCGAACTTCCTACACGGATTCTTTGAAATCTCTGCAGCCTCTACAATGCCAGTGAAACTTGTCCGAGGATAACACGAGAAACTCTTTGAGCGTTCATAAGGGTGTGGTGCAGTAGGAACTAAATTGTCGCTCGCGGCGAGAGACGTCGCGCGCGAGGGAATGTAGCAAAAGGTAGCAGCAAGTAAGAAATACAGGAACAAAAGAAATAACAGTAGAATCATGCCAAAAGTTATACTCGAGTAGCGATTTGGCAGTATGAAGTATACTAGGACCGTATAATGAGGCAAATGGTCCGCGACAGCCGCGTGTGGCCGATCGATTACAAAGAACCGTTCCTACTGCCCGTCTCCCCGTTCATAACGCCCTAACTAGGCCGTTCTCCGACATACATAGCACCAGATATGGCACAAGAGGGGGCCTCAAGTTCGCCCTATAGGGAAATTCCAGCAAACATTTTATCGTGAGTTGTGCATTTAAGAGGGTTCCGTTTTTTTGGTGATTCTGCAAATTCTTGCTCGAAGGCCGAATAAACATGTATCTGTTCAAGTTCTAATGGAACTACATTCCTAAAATCATTTCATTGTCTTTTCTGGAATTAAAGTCTATCTCGGTTTTCTCTCCTCAAGAGACTAATTCAGTTACTCACGAAGGATGGACATGCTCATTGGGCGTGTTCCCAGTTAGTATCAAAAACGACGACTTTCTGAAGTTTGTACATATGCCGGAATCCGTGGTGAAGAAGGAAGCCATAAGAAAGAAGGTAATCCATCACAATATTTGAACGTTTTCTGAGCAGCATCTGCCATGCTAGGCCAGTGAATGTGGAGCAACTTAGATTCTCGGCACTAATCCTCCAAAAGGCTCACGTTTCTTCTTTTCCGTCGAACGATTCGATTACACCAAAGGGATCAAAGAGAAGCTAGTGGCCTACAAACGATATTTCGAAAAATATCCTGATCGTATTGGAAAGGACGTTCTGTATCAGGTACAATATTTATGTCTTCTATTAATCTTCTTCTTCTTCTTCTTCTCCTTATCGTTATTCCCGCGCCGTCGCAGTGTCCGCTGATATGTCTTCTATTGGTATTCTCCCTGAATCCGCTGTCCTTCGACTTTTCTGATTTCTTCTGAAATAAAAATTCTTTACACAATCTTCTCCTTTCGATATCAAACAAAAGTAACGTGGCCATGTCACTCTGATAGGAAGTTCATGGAATGGGCACGGACAGTTCAATGAGATCATCACAACACTGTAAGGGATGGAGTTGCAAATTTCTATCCTTATAAAAATGGTGATCGCAGGAGTTCCATGCAACCTACCCTGACCCCGCACTTAATGTTCGAGACTTTTATTTCTGAAAGTCGCAAACATGACGGAGATTCCAATGAGGTTATATCGTAGAATAGGATATGTTGCCTCCTTAGGACCCTGCATCGAGGCCATGGTGTTTGAATTGATTCGAGGAGCCTTGGCAGCATACTTCCTTGTAAGCAGGAAGAGGTACAGGGTCAGAGCTGACCTTTGGACCCCAATTGTAAAATCTGTTGCCATAGCTGGCCGTGAAGAGTCGTATAGTTGTTTTGGGCCCTCCTACATATCTTTGATCGGGAAGTCAGGCGTTGCTAACAAAGTCTTTTGCTTTCGGAGCGCTCTCCAGAAGATTGGTAACGGCAGGTGGTCGGAAGCTTTTTCTAGATTGTGGAAGGCAAGTGAGCAGAGTCTACGACTTTCTCAATATGAAGATATCATGTATCATCCGTTGTAGACCTTTTGTTCATGAAGCCGAGGTACTCGATTCGGGATCGGGACTATTCCTCTCAGCCTTGAGTTGATTAACTGCTCGTATAGCTTCGTGGTATGCGCAGACAACCTGATCCTAACGATAAGATGCTTGGAGCACTCCATCACGTCTTCCTTCCGCTTGGGCTTGATGTTCAAGAATCGAGTGAGCCACCTGATCTCATGACCTCTTTGCGCCTTCCAAGCCTCAATTTGTACGCCATATGGACCAACCGCTCTCTCAACATTTTCTTTTCAATACTTTCAAAATTCTCAACTCTCAACATTCATTTCCTTCATTGCTCCGTGGCGTTATTTTTCTCTCCATTCGCTGTGGGGTATGCTGTCCTTCTATATGGGAGCTGTTCTTGCGGGGCCGCATCGTGAATGGTGAAATGAATCCCTTCATTAACGCTATCTAGTTTAGATATAAGAAGGAAATTGTCTTTTCAGGTCGCTGTCACGAATCGTCGTTCTGTGGATACTTATCGAGTATATCAAGACGAATGCATCGATCTTGCAAAGCAAATCGTGGAAAAGTTCAAGGATCCCAATAGAGCCGAGTGGAAGCCCCTTGTTTTCCAGACCGATGGTGAGTGTATCAAGAATTCCATACCGTTCTCAAGCATCAGGCGCTCAGAGCCTGAGGAGAGAAGCCATAATTGCTCGAAAATTCGAAGAAATTTGGATTTTCAAGCAATATTGGCAACCTCTGCTGATGTTACCGTTAGTTCTTATGTATCAAATTTACAGGATTACCGCGCCCAGAGTTAGTTGCAGCGTACATGGCTATGGATATTGGAATCGTAACACCGAAAAAGGATGGCATGAATTTGGTCAGCATTGACCCTTACAGATTTCTCTCTATCTCAATCGATATTTCCCATTTGCATGATTAAATGTAGTTGCATAGGTTTCAGGTAGCTAAAGAAATGTTGGTGTGCAACCCACAAGCCGGACTTATTCTTTCCACTGGTGCCGGTTCGGAGATTCAATTCACCACTTCCGGGCTTTACAAAGAGGATGGCGAGAAGAACTACCACCGAGTTTCAAATTTGTACGATGTCGAGGTCGGTTGATAAACTAGTACAGAGTTGTGCATCGATGTATTTATCTCCTTTGCGATGAGCCATCGAAACTGTATCATGTGAACCGGGTCGGAGGTGGTGTAGTGGCGAGTGGCGCACTATCATATATGCTTGTTCACGGGTTCGAAGCCCGGCTTGATATCCGCTAGGCTCTTCCGGGATCTGTAAATCGGGTGACCACCGACCACATACGCATTCAATACCTATCCTATCCTGAATGGGAGTCGAATGTAGAGGCGCATCCCTCAGGCGGGATTGATTAATGCTCAGAGACCTCATCCAGTCACCATTGTCTCGATTCAAACGAGTTTTTATGGAATTTTAGAGTCATATATGGTTGTGAAACGCTGCATGTTCAAGTTAAATGCCTATTACAAACATATGTATGTGATATGGAAGAATGATATCCACTTTGAAATGCCTAATGTGATAAATTATTCCTCCACAAATAAGATACAATTTGTTCTTCTCTCTAGACTAGAGAAGTAGGACACCCAGAGTTATTTTCAGGACTATCGAAGTGAATTTCTTCGAAAATTGTTTTGGTAATTCTATAGCGTATACCGCTTTACCTATTACCTTAAACGCTGTGAATCAAGTTATTCAACAGCTAGCTCCCCATTACTCGCCCTATTTGGAAGATTGAATATCCACCTTGAAATTGAATGAGCAACATAGATGAAAATACATTTTCTTTAGGCGTATGCAGACACGTTCTACGCAGCTGCTACAGAACCTGTAGAAGTACGAGCAGCTCATGGAAAGCGATTAAGCGAATTCATACTTTCTAATGATATTGAACGGTAAGCATAGGTTATGCAATTTGAAGTTGGTATTTCTTAGTCCAGCGATCTCAACCAAACGTTTCTCAGATGGAGCGCCGCCTTCCTGGATCCCAGTTGGACACATCAAGTAATTCGTCCTACACAGGTTGGTTAGCCATACAGCATGAAAAGTTTTATAGGAACTGGAATACCTGAGATCCTGCAGCGTTCTTTTCGAATCTGCTTGTACCATTCCAGAGACAACGTCCCCCATCTTCAAGTGCTGAATTCGGGGTTGTGATAAATAATGTTCCTGTTCCTCTCTTTTTCTCATATGATCACACACACACAGATCGATGTGAACGT